GCAATTTTTTTTCCTACTTTTGGAATAAAAAAAAAAAAAAAAAAAAAAAGCCACGCATCAACCTCGTGCTGCAGCAACTTTCTTTTCCAGCCCTGGAAGCAGGTTCCTCTGTGCCGGGGAGATGGCAGGTTCCCCCATACAGGCAGGAGGCACGTGGCTGGGGCAGCAAAGGCAAAGATGGAAGAAAAAATGTTTCGTTTTGAGACCTTGACACAAACAAAACGACACGAAGCAAAAAAAAAAGGGTGGGTTGTTGGCTTTTTTTTTTTCCTCTCCTCTTTAAGCGCTACAAAAACAGGAAACAAAGGAGAAAACATCTCACGGGGGGGAAGGGGAGGTAAGCGCTTTATACGCCCACGAAATAAAGATTAACCACATATTTTATTTACTGTTTGTATTACGGTTGCACTGCGGAGTTCAACCAATTCCAAGCCAGGGCTCTGCGGGTCTGTGCAGCACCTAACGCTGAGCGGTCCCCTTCCCCCAAACCCACCAAGCGCGTGCCTCCGCTGCGAGCGAGCCCTCCAGACGCCCTCGTTCCTCCTGCAGACACCCGCCTCCGGCCTCCTTCGCCCAGCATGAGCTCTCTGGCCCCAGCCGCCAGCTGAAAAAGCGCTGGTGCTGTCCCCAGGGAGTTTTGAGCCCTTTTTCCCCTTCAAATCAGACTGTAAGACACCCTCCACGGTGGGCCAGCAGCAGAGCCAGAGTAATAAACGCTAGAAAAGGTGAATTTATGGGGAACGTGTTTGCAGGCTCCCATCCTGGGCTACAGGGGCCACCCTGCCCCACTGGGTCGATGCCGCACCCCACACACACTCAAAAGTCCCCCGCACCAAGGACAGGACTCTGAGCCTCCAAACTTTGACTCATTTCTCAATTAACAGCTTCCCAAACGCGAGCCACGCATGGAACAAACCTCTCATGATGGGGCCCGGACCTCCCAAGCCCGGCATTACTCATCCACCCCCCCAGCCCTCCTTCCCCGGGGTGCTCCGAGAGCGGCTCACCGCCGCACGGGGCGCACAAAAGGCCCCCCCCCCCAGAGGCGGGAGGCCGTCACCGCCTGAGCGCATGCACCCTAATTCAGGAGCCGGGGTGGCCGCCCCCCTTGCCAGCTGGCCAGGGGCAGCTTTCAGCCAGAGACCTGCCCAAGGCCACGCAGCCAGGGCAACCTGCCGGGATTTTTTCCTGGGGGGGACTCTTCCCTACTCCAACCGGTTCACCGAGGAACTGCTTTAACTGCAGGGGGAATCTTTGGGCACGCTGACCCCCAGCTTTGGGCTGTCCTCCATTGCCCCGGCCTCCAAGCACCCAGCCGAGCCACGCGCCCAGCGGGAAGAGACAAGCTTATCATCGCAGAGAAAGGAAATTAAGATAACGCGGCAATGGAGGTACCGAGGGATTTGGCCAAGGTCACAAAATAAGTCTGTGGCTCTATGATACAGCCATCCGACACGTTCGGTGTCTGGTCACATACCCTAAAATTTCAAGCCAGGGCCAAAATCTAGCCTCGCTGGTGGCAGCTTTCTGCCAGGTCATTAGCAGCATGCATCCGCACAGAGCAGTGAACATCCAGCCATAACAACAGCAGTAACAACAACAAAAAAAAAAGAGCGGGAATAGATGAGATCAAAGTGTCCTGGAAAAGGACCTGGAAAAATAGTTTTGGTCCCTGGCTAAGGCTCCCGGGAAGCGCACAGGCGAGCCCCGTCCCAGCCCCGTGCAGCCCCCCCGGGGTGGCTCCCCACCCTGGCAGAGGGAGACCAAAATGACTCCCTATAAATAGAAGCAGAAAAGCGCTTCTCCAAAAGCCTGGCTGGGTCTTTCCCCTTCCAGCGCGTGTGGCAGAGCTGCTGGCACCTCCGTGGAGGTCTCTGGTTTTCCCCCAAATAAACCTGGAGAGGAAAATAACCTTCCTGTGAGCTCAGGCTGGCTCCTCCATGCACAGAGCCACCCCCCCCTCCCAGGCCTGGCCATCCAATTGGAAAGTAATTATACTGCAATTTTTATTTATGACTTCTTTTTTTTTTTTAATTGCTAAATGGTGACTCATTTTGGCAACATTAAAATACACAGGAAATCATCCCCATTTTACAGTAATCACCATTCAATTCATTGTTAAATATTTATTCGATGGACAAATGCCGGGCCTCTTTCGAAGGGTCGGAGG